TTTTGTTGACTTAGTTTTGCTTTTTATGTTAGGCTTTATGTTTTGGCCACATGAGTAGGATTTGTAACATTTTCATTAACTTAGATTATTGATATTTCCTTTGATATTTATAATGTTTAATTTCTCAAATGCCCTAATGGCTATGCCCTGTGAAAATGAACAAGGAAAAGAGTTTTGGAATGTTTTGTGCTGAGGTTTTAATTTCTGGGGAAAATAAAGGGATGCGATTAAAGTATAGCAGATTGTTTCCAGGGGAAATATCAGTGTTGCATGTTACAGTGGCGTCTAAAGAAAGACTCATTGAATTGCTGGGAAAATACATTCTTTCACATGCCACTAAATAGCTGGTCCATCACATGGGGAGGAAAAAAGCTCCATATGAACATATGACAACTATGTGCCTGTTATTGGAAAATATACCTGCATCCAAATAAATAACACTTGAATTTTAATATTATATTTCTTCCTGCGCTGTTACTGGGCAGTTACTATAGATAATGGCAGAGCTGGAAGCCTTGAAGGGTTAACTCTTCCCTCCTGGTTGGCTTCAGACCTAACCCATTTCCTTGGTGACACTACAAAGGAAACATCAGCTTCCTCTCCTTAGGATTTAAGATAATATATGGAAAAGTGTCTATATCAGGATTTGTTGAGACTCATTAAGGGAACGTTCCTTCCTCTTGACCCAAAGAATGGAATCTGAGTTGGTGCTCAGGCTCTGTCTGGGGACTTGGCCTTCTGATCTGTCCCAAGATTAGAGGGCTATGTCCTACTGTCTCCTGCAGCTGGGCCTGTCAATCTCAGAGATGGGAGGAATAATTATCTCCCCATTGAGATGATGTACTTGTACTGCAGAGAAGCCCTTTGTGGCCCATGCCACACTGCTAAGCCTGCCTGTTTTTGTTTGTTTGTTTTTCTTCTTTTTGGATCCTAGTCAAAAGGCTGAGCATGCTCAGAGCTTTGTTACCTGTATTTGAAGGTGTCCCTGTCCCCTCCTTCCCATTCCACCATGCAGTTGATTCACTAAGCATGCAAGCCTTTGTGGACCCAAGGTCAAAAGGGAGCAACTTTTTTTTTCACATCACTTTCTCCCTCCACTGTGCAGCTTCTGAGATGGACAGCTTGCCTGTCCTACTGTTTTTCCTTCCAGACTCTAATAAAATGATCCTCAAGATTCCTTCCATGGTCATTTAAAATTCTCTTATTTGCAAGACCTCCAAAGGGGATCAGGAATTTCCTTGACAACACAATGGCAAGAAAAATGAACCATAACCAGTGGGAGGGAAATGGATTGTAATGTAGAAGCTTTTATTTTCCACAATTATTAGAAGATATTTTTCTCTTGTGAGTGAACTGGCTGACAGATCACTTTTAAAAGTACTTGACAAATTGGAGTTTTTTTTTAATTTTTTTAAAGTTAACATACAAAGTAATGTATTTCATTATAGTATCTTCTATATACATGCGGCACTACCCTTTATTCCTATTCACCCCTCTCCCTCAGGGTCCTCTTTCAATGCCCTCCCCTTTCTCTCTGCCTTCCTCTGATTGATCCTCTTTGTTACAACTAAATTCTTCCCTCTTCTACTTACAGGTGTCCTGCATGCCATTACTGTTTACCTTACTCCCTCCCACTCTTGAGGTCTCTTCCTCACACATATGCACAGAGACATACACACAAACATGTGCTGGGAGGAAGAGAGTAGGGACACCAGAGAGAGATATAAATTTATAGTGTCATCCAGTAAGACAGTGTGGTACCTATCTTCATGAGTCTGGCTTATTTTGCTTAACATTTATTTTTTAAAGGAAAAATATTGTTTTAGCTCCTTGTAATTCAAAAATAATATTGTGTCTCCCTGCCACACACACATGTGGATACTCTGAAGATTAAATTAATTCCTAAAATGACCAGCAGGGTATGTGTGTTGGTCCTGGTGATTTTCTTCCTCTAGTAATACTTACCTTACTGGTTTCACACATGTGTTCCTTTTCCTACGCTCTCTGCTTCATCCACCATTTATCATTTTTAGGAAGCATTAAGTCCCTGATTTTTTTCAATTACTTATTTCCTCTTCCTTAGGAAATGCAGTCTGAGATTCTGATGATTCATACTTGGATTGGCTTAGCTTGTTTCAATTTTGTTTCTTTGTCTACATCACTGTTTCTCAGAGCTATAATATTTACTAATTCCTTTCATAGGAAAGAAAAATGTTAACCTTAAATCCATAATTATCTTGTCCCTAATTCTCCAACTAAGAAACTGGCTTAGGAAGCTTAAGTTCAATCTTGAGAAAAATCTTTCTATTGATGATTGTTAGAGGAGAATTTTGTCTTCCCAACTGGCGAAATATATCTCTAGATTGTCTTTGAACTAGATATGAAATTGAAGCATTTCTACAGAACACACAGCCTTGAGCATGCATCCATAGACTCATTTTTAGAAAATGGACCACTGCTAGACCTCCTATTTAATCCTGTCTTGAAGCACCAGTCTTGTATTCATCCACTCAGGATCCTGCTTCCAGACCATGCCATCCTCCTATTCAGAGGTCTTTAATGATCTCTTGTTACCTCCAAGAGAAATATCACGCTCCTTAGCTTGTCAATGAAGCTCTTTCTTGACCTAACTCTATACTTCCTTTCTCTACAGATGCATCAGTCATGTTCTCCTTCCTAATTGCACCTCATACTTGGCCTCTCTTGACTCCTCAGGCTTCATTAGCATCTGCCTTCTCTGTTTCCCAGCTCCCGAGAAAGCTGTGCTTATGATTCATCTTCTCATGTTGCTACAGTCCTCTTTGTATCCATTTATTATAGACTTGGAAAACATCCTGGGCAGCAGACTTCTCAAAAGATGCCTAAGCATTTAATATATAGCCAGAATTGAAGACCAGTTCCTAAATCAGAGTTCTTAAAGGACGGTCCCCAGACAGGCAATGTCAGTGTCATCTGCAAACTTCTTAAAATCTCTTGAGTGTGCCCCACTGCCTCAGTTGTAGCAAGCTTTCCCCATGACTCATTCTTCCTCTCACTCCATTTTCAGAACCACTGTCCAGACCTAAGTGACTGAGAAATCCTCTCCCAACTTTTTATCTTCTTTTATGCTAATTATAGATGTCAGTTTTTCTTTAGATGATAAGTTATTGTTATAGATCTCTCACCTTCTTGATTGTAGTATAAGTTCTTTGAGTGGAAGGATTAGCTAACTTTAGTGTCCCCTCTTTTATTTATCAAAATTGCATAAAAAGCTCTCTACAGATGTGTGTTGGATTTCATTACTGGTATTGATAACTTTATTGCTGTGACAAAATGTTGCACACACATAACTTGAGAGAAAAGTTTATTTTGAGTCATGGTCATGGGGGACATGGTACATCATGGAATATGTGTGTGAGGTAGTAGCTCCTTACATGGCGGTCAGGTCACAGAGAGTATTGGCCCATGCCAGAAGCAAGTATAACATTCAAAGGCCCAAACTTAGTGTTCTACTTCTGTCAGCTAGTGTCTACATTGCAAACTTTTCACATCCAAACAGCACCACCAACTGGGACCAAATTATCCAAACACATGCACTGTGGGGGAGCTGCCACATGCTACATTCAAACTATAATAATGATATTTATGTTGTGCTAGCAGAAAGTAATGGGGAATAAGATATAACTTTCTCAGCCCTGTGAGTCTATTTTAAACAGAAGTTTATATGTGTGTGTATATAATATTTGACAAGAAGTTTATTAATGATTTGTGCTATTTCATGAAGAAAATAGCACAGTTCTGTTCTCATAAGAAAACATTTTAATGAATCTCTCTTCAAGAATGGTTTTTAAATGTAGGTACACCTTGGTAAAACATTAGGTGTCTTTTTTTAGGTAATGACCTGCTGTCTGTCTGTCCTACCTGTTACACATTAGATTTCCTGTGCTCAGGAAGGCTATTATCTTCCCAGTTCCAGAAGTGTCTTCTCCTCTTGCTTGTTTCTTGAATATGTAGTCAATTTCTTCCTTAAATTTTTCCCTGTGGCTTTGCACAGATACTTTTAAGTTACTTCAGGAATCTAATTTTGTTTTTCCAAGATGGGTGGTAATATCTCAAGGACATTGACTGGCCATCTTAAAAAAATGATTTTTTTTCTTTTTCTATTTTTCATTCCTCATAACTCTAGTGGCCTTTTCACTCTTTCAGTAGAACTCATTTAATTCTCGACATTATTTTATTGATTCATCAGATTTCAGAAAGCATCTTTTTGGCATTTGTCTGTGTGATTAGAAAACATTCCTTAAATGGCAACCTTCAGAAAGTAAACTCAAGCTAGCATAAGCAAAACAATGTATTGAATGTGTGATGCTGACATCCAGGACTGTGGTGACTTCAGTCTGGTATAAATGTTCTTCCATTCTGTTTGGCATCCCTTTCCTCTGTCTGGATCCATTTAATTCTCTCATCTGGGAAAATAATGATCACTAAAGACCAATATTACACAAAGAAAAAAGACCGTGCCTCCTGCATCACCAACTCTACTAAAGGACCCCGAAGGGGCTTGCAAGCTAGAGCCTCGCTGACAGCTCCTTTCTGAGGACGCTCAGTGGACTATCAAATGAGAGTGCATGGGCATTGTGCAAGTAGAAACAGTGGGTTCTCTTGCTTTAGAGCAGCCAAGAGTAGATGGATATAATTGTCCACCTAGCAGAAAATGACAGACATCAAACCTAGCAAACCTCAGCATTTATTGAGTTAGTCCCATGAAAGGCAAGTTATATGGGTTATTTAAAAGCTTAATGTTCCACTGATTATTATTATTTCCACTTTAAGAAGAAGGTAAGATTATTCAGATAGTAAGCAGACAGTGAGTGGTGAAACCAAGCTTTAAATCAAAGAACATTTCTCTCTAATGACACTTTTTTGTTTTGTTTTGTATAAGGCCATCTCAGTGAGTGAAGTGATTTTTTTAATAGTGAAAAGAAATTTTCTGCTACTGTTTCCAT